ATAAGTACCCCCCCCCCATAAGGTGACAGCTAAGCAAAGGCCTCAAGGAGGTGAGTAAGTGGATTACATAAATTCCTGGGGCATAGCCTCCAGGTAGAGACAACAGTAGGTGCAAAGGCCCTGGGGCAGGGGTAGGTGAGTGTGGTCTTTGGCCAGAGCACACAGAGCAAGGTGGGCAGCAGGAGGCAGGGATGGAGAGGGAGAGGGAGCAGGATGTGGAGAGGGATCTGGATGTGGGGAGGGACGTGGGGAGGGAGGGGGGTGTGGGGTCCTGTCAGAACTCAGTGGGGCTTTAGGTCTCACGTGGGCGATGGGGAGCCAGTGCAGAACTTTGAATAGAGGATTGATGTTTAAAGTAACAGTACAGAGGATTGATGTTTTAAAGTAGCAGTAGCTCCTATTACCTTGTGCTTACCATTTCTAAATACAGTATTTGTTAAACACTGAACATGTATTTACCTGTTAACCCTCCCAATGCCTTTTAAAGGTGAGGAAGCCCCACAAGAGAGAGGCCTCTACCCATGAGATGCTGGCAGCAACTCCCTCCCCACACACACACCGCCCAAGTGACAAACCAAAAAATGCCTCCAGATGTTGCCTGGCAGACAGAACTGCCGGGCTGAGATCCACTGCCCGAGTGCCCTCCTCTACGCCACCTGCCACCTGCCCGGCTCAGGCTCACCCCGCTCACTGCAACGCTGTGACGGCCTCCTGAAGCCCCTGCCCCTACTCCATCCCCCATGGTACACCCTGCCATGCCACCCTCCCAGCTTACAGCCCTCTGTGGCTCCCACTGGCCTGAGGATCAATGCCAAGCCCTGACTGCCTCCCCAGCTCTGTGTTGTGCCCCCTCCTGCCTGCCCTCCCGCGCTCATTCCATGTTGAGCCACCACGCTGGCCAGTTCAGACAGGGAGACACGCCCCTGGGGCCGGCCTTCCCGGTGTGTCTGTCTGTCCAGGGCAGGGGAGAGCGGGTCCCATTGGTCCCCTAGCCTGGGAGGGGTGAGGACTCCAGGAAGCGCTGGGGAGCTGAGCTCTACAGAGTGGGTGGGGGCGGTCGAGGGCAGCAGGGGAGACTGGCAGTGATGGGCAAAGGCCTGGTTTGGGCCCCAGCAAAGGCATTGAGAATGCAAGTGGGAAGGGGGGGATGGCAGGGAGCAAACCGTTAAACGTGAGGAGGTGGCCTGAACAAGCAGGCGAGGGGGGTAGTTTGGGGGGGCAGGTGGTCCTGGCTTGGGGAGAGATGTGGACAGTGGGGTCACGGTGCAGGCTGTGCCCTGGAAGGCATGGCCTGTCCCTTCCCTTCACCTGCAAATTCCCCCTCTCCCCCTCCCGCAGGCCCAAACCTCAAGCCTCCTCCTTGAGGCCCCAGGGCTCCTCCCTGCTCCTCGTCTGCAGTCTCCAAGCCTGTGTTACAGCAGCAGCACCTGATTTTGTTGTTGGGGCTGTTGTTACCCCGCTGCCCCCACGAGGTGACGAATGCTCGGTCTGTGGGCAGGTGAAATCAGCAGGCAAGCCCCAGCTCCCGCCTGGGCCCTCGGGGTCAGGGCCGGGGTCAGGGCCGGGGTCAGGGCCGGGGGCAGGGCCCCAGGGAGAGGAAGCACCAGCCTTCAGTGGCTCCACGGCAGCCCAGCCCATCCTCCTGGCTCATCTGCTGCACAGCAGTGAG